CGAGGACAGCCATGTGCGGCACGGGGGCGTCTACACAAGGCCAGCCACACCAGGACAGCCACGTATGGAACCAGGGCAACCACGTGAGGATAGCCACGCGAGGACAGCCATGTGCGGCCCTAGGGCGTCTACACGAGGCCACAGCAGATGCTTGCCTGCTCCAACTGCTGCTCCAGGGTAGCTGCTGAGGCCGCCATCTTCTGCAGCTGCTCCTTCTCGTCTTCAAACTCCTCCAGCCTCCTCTGCAGGTCCTCCTCCACCATCGTCTTTGCCTCTTGAATCTGCACAAAGGCAGCTTCCTGGTCCAACATGTCAGCCTGGGCACAGAAGACAGAGTGTCTTTTAAAACGCAGGATAACCTGACAGCTACAGCAGAGTGAGCAGGGAAACCCGCCACCCTGGTGAGAGGTGCTCGTCCACATCACCATCCTGTCCATGACTCGCAAACGGAGGGCCAATGGCCACAGGGGGCGGAAGTCTGGTGACTTCCCATTGCCCAAAAGACAGGCCACCCCCGCCTACTCCTCTGCCCATGGTTCCTTCTGCTGACCTTCAGGCCTGGCCGAAGGAAGAAGCAAGGAGACAACCCAGTTCTAAGAACTGGAATAAAGTCATGGATAAAATCTCCAGGGCTGCCTCTTACAGGAAGACAGGTTGTAGCGTGTCCCTACTTTTGGGGTGTGCTACATGAACACTCTCTTTCACAAGATTCTCTCCTAACAACACATTTAAAACCAGACACCCGGGCCGGCTCCGTGGCTTAGCGGTTGAGTGCGCGCGCTCTGATGCTGGCGGCCCGGGTTCGGATCCCGGGCGCACCCCGAGGCACCACTTCTCCGTCCAACGCGAGGCCGAGTCCCACGTACAGCAACTAGAAGGATGTGAACCTATGACATACAACTATCTACTGGGGCTTTGGGGGGAAAAAAATGAATAAATAAAATCTTTAAAAAAAAAAAAAAAAAACCAGACACCCGGAGCCCTGGGACAAATACGGCATGCCTTATGTTTTGACCACGTAACTAACACCCAACAGCTAGGGGTGTTTCTTAGGGAAAAAAATGTTAGTTTATAACTTATAAAAAAGTTTATAACTTAAAATTCTTTTAGTTCTTTGACATTGAGCCCTTGAAGTATATGTTTGACAACAGACGATTCTATTCCATCACCCACGTCATTCGTGAGGACAAAGGGGCGTGAAAGCAGGGAGGTGAGAGACCACACCAGTCACAGGACGCTGACTATCCAAATGACTGTGCAGGGCCAGTGACATGCTCTGCACAAGCTGCCATGATGTACACTGCTGAGACGTCGCATATCTTTTCTTCTTTACTTTTCCCAACAAGCCTACTAAGTAGGTCTTATTATCCTCATTTTATAAAACAGGGAACAAGGCTCCGAGAGGTTAGAAGTCATCCAGGGTCTCACAACTGAAAAAGAATAGGTCAAAGCTACTGCTTCCCACTATCGTGGAAATACTCTGTGGAGGCAGCAGAACATAATCATAACTACTTCAGACGTTGTTGGAGGATTAAATAGTAAGGTAGGTTGAATGCTCAGAGATAAGAAAATGCTTATTACCACTAGGCTCTAGAATGCTCTCAGACGTACAAGATACTAAACTCCTTCCTCCCACCGGCTCTCTGCCCAGCACTGCCCCAACTGCCTGGCCGAGCACTGTGAGCCAGGCCCATGGCAGCTCAGAGTAGAAGAGCCCCAATTACCACTGACAATTCAGAGAGAGAGATGCGCGTACAGCGAAGGTGAGGAATAGAATCCCCAAACCTTAAATCACTGCAGGTTGTTCAAAATAACATTTTAAAGACGTATGTACGTGTACGCATAATATTGTTTATGTATGTGTATTTGTAGTTTCTTAACCTTGACCAGTGTCAAAAAAAGGCCCAAACCCCCAAAAAACCATCAAGACGCCACAGCCTCAGAAGTAGCACAGCTCTCACCTCGATGCCCTGCAGCTGGACAGCAATGCGCTCCTTCTCCTTGATGGACCTGTGCTGGGTTTCCGTCAGCTGGTGGGACAGGGACACGTTCTCAAGTTTCAGATGCTCCAGGAGGCCTGCCTGGGTCATCTGTCCAACCTTCAAAGAGAAAGACCGCAGGGTAGAAAGTTGCTAGATTTCAAGCCCAAGTGCAGACTGGCTGTACCCTGAGGCCGCCAGGGTGAGGGTCTCTGCCCAGCAATAGCCCCGGGAGGGCTGCTCCCCAGGACCACCACACTGGGCCTCCCTGCCCACCCTCCTGTCAGCCACCTTGACACTCAGGCCATCTGGGTTGTGTGTGCCCAGGAGGGGCGGGCTGGCAGTCTACAAGTCAGTGGTCATTACCCCCGAGACTGAGCAGTTTGTGGCAAGACCTACACGGAAGTTCCCATTGAAGGTACATCTGTGAGCCCCAAGGTGAGGGGTCTCATCTGGAAAGCAGGGACAGCCAGGATGGAATCCACCCATAAAATGAACTGACTAACTATGACCAAACACATTTCGGGCCCTGCCCTGTCAGTGCCTGACTGTCCTGGACACTCGCCAGCTGACCCTGGCCATTCCCAAGAAGTGGCATTGGCAATGTAGCACAGGGTCTGACCCAAGCCATCATAAACAGTCAGGCCTCCTCTGACCAACCATCTCCTCGAGAAAAAGGAGTCTGAGTTTGCAGCACTCCAACACGCCGGCCCCCAGAGGAGGGGTCAGTAAAGAGAAGTCTGAGGGCACAGGGCTGTGTGACTGGACCTTCGAGCACATCCCTTCCAGATTCAACCTCAACACTCCTAGACTTAAAAGATGCCAGAAGTGACCAGAAGTTGTGCATTTCAGAGGCTAAATGGAAGGTGCCCAGAGCAAGGGTGACGCCATTTGCTGGGATCGTGTTTCAAGGCAACGAAAGAATAAAGACTACACTGCACTCTCCTCTCTCCTCAATGTTCCTGTGAACACTTCTATGTTACTGGGAAAAGATGGAGAAAATGTATTAAACACCCTAATCAGGGAATGCTGAACCTGAGTGCCAAAGGTCTTCGAAAACAGCAGTCACAGTGCTCAAACTGCCACTCCCTGGGACTCTTCCTCTCATGTTTGTCTTCCAAATTCCATTTCTGATTTATGTCAGACACATAAATCTGGCCTCTTTAAATATTTTATGCCTCATATCAATGCACTATCCCTTCAAAATTGCATTAACTTGTACAATGATTTATTTATTTATTTATTTTCTTTTTTTTTTTGTAAGGAAGATCAGCCCTGAGCTAACATGCATGCTAATCCTCCTCTTTTTGCTGAGGAAGACCGGCTCTGAGCTAACATCTATTGCCAATCCTCCCCCTTTTTTTTCCCCAAGGCCCCAGTAGACAGTTGTACGTCTAAGTTGCACATCCTTCTAGTTGCTGTATGTGGGACGCGGCCTCAGCATGGCCGGAGAAGCGGTGCGTTGGTGCACGCCCAGGATCCGAACCCGGGCCACCAGTAGCAGAGCGCGCGCACTTAACCGCTAAGCCACGGGGCCGGCCCCAAGGATTTATTTCTAAGTATGGTGTAAGTAGAACAAATACTTGTTTGTATGGTCCTTCATCTTAAAAAATATGTAATATAAGTTTAAGAACACTTCTGTTTTGTATATTTGTAGACTTTAGATTTAAAAAAAAGGAGCATTTGGCAGAGTTAGTACTTTACATCCTCTACTTGAGAAACAGTTTTAATCTACGATTTTATCTATACAAAGACAAAAAAAAGAAAGGAGAGAACAAAACCCACAGCTAAATTAAAAAAGACAACTGAGCTGACCAGGTCCCATCCAGCACCCTCAGATCAATCTAACGAGTCTGGAACCAAGTGCCTTTTAGCAACTTGCCTACTGTCCCGAGTGCCTCCAGAGCACACGGGGCCCAGAGGGAGAGGCCTCAAGACGAAGCACAGCACCCCAGCGTTACTCTGCGTACCTGGACTGATACATGCTCCCACCTCTGCAGAACCAGAGGTGACATGCCTGCGCCCCTAACAAAATGGAAAGAAAGAGTGTTCACGCTGGAAAGACCTGGTGACTAAGCAGCTGGAGAAAGGAGAAGCTCCAACCAGGAAGGTAACATGTGCCGTGCTCTGTGCACCTGAGAAACAGTGTCAGGGGAGGGCAGTCACCAGGGCAGGGGAGTCGGGTGTGAGAGTCCTGAGGCCCAGGCAGAAGTGGACTTGAGAGCCGGGTTCAAACGATGAAAGTAACCCTCCAGAAGGGATGAGATTCACTGGTCAGAGCTCAGCACACAGCAAGTTCCGGAGAGGAGGATTTTAGAACTGAAAATGCTCAAGCAGAAGCTGTGAGACTCCCTGTGTCAGAAGGTTATGGAAGGCAGTTACTGTACAGGATGGCTAGATAAGTGGTTAGCAGATTTTTTAAAAATGTATCTGTGATATCTAAAAATAGAAGTCTTTTTAATTTAGTAAAAAAGCAATTGTTCCACACAAGACATGAGATGTGACCTGCCAGGCCATGTCAGGGGCTGTACGTACCTGGATGTGGGCCATCTCACCCTGCAGTCTGACCCGGGCCTCCTGGGCCAGGGCAAGCTGCTGCTGGTACCACTGCCGGACATTCTGCAGGGATGAGATTTCCGCCTGGGACGCCTTCAGCTTGCTGGTCAGTGTTGTGCGCTCCAGCTGCACTTGTTGTAGCTGGCTCTGCAAGGCTGTCATCTGTTGTCGCAGGTCATGCACTAAAAGCAAGCAAGCACAGCAGCTCACACCACCTGCTACAAACAGGAGAGCCTGCAGCTCCGCACATTCAAACCAAAGTCAGTCTCTGCAGAGAGTGAGAAACCCAGCTGGTTCTCACTAGTCACAGTCATGCTGTTCCATAAAGGTGTGTGAACACTGCAATAGAGGACATGGAACCACAGCCCCTGGGGGGAACACAGGGTTAGGTTCTGGTTGACTCACCAGGACAGCCTCTTTGTTTCACGTGTTTCTGTTTAAAGACACCTCACTCTATACTGTGGATTCATTAACACTGAACTCCCAGACAACGGCACCATATGTCATACCTGAACGAAGCTCATCTAACACACATGTTCTCTCCATAAAATACATCACAGCCTTCTTGCACTTAGGAACACCAGACAGTGTTAGGGGTTCACTCTAAACAGCAAAACCACCCCAAAAAAGCACAAAAATGCAAAAAACGTGGCAGTAAACAGACCATCAGAGGGCGCTTGTCTGCGGTAGGAGAGCTAAAATGAGAAGCCTGAGTGTCACCTCGTTCACCTCAGCTAGGAGCAAGCATATCGGGCGACTCCCATCTTCACTAGCCTGCACCTGTCTGCAATGACTGTGCAAGTGCTGATTTTTGGGTTACAGATAAACTTAAGCGAGTAGGTGAATTCACAGATAGAGACCCTGTGAATACTGAGGATCGACTGTGTGTCTACAAAGTTGCCACGGGTGCCATGGCTCTAGTCCCTAAATGGCCTGATGACGTCTGTGAACCATCAACAGACTCAGGAACGGTGTTGTGTTGCCAATTCCACACTAAAACCTGCTAGTTTGCTGATATGGTCAACTCTTTACACTGATGAGGGCAGCGCAGGAGGAGGGAGGAGACAGGAGGTCAAAGACAACCCAAATCACAGTACAAACAAAACCAGTCAAATATTTTAAAATTAAAATTACCCCCAATATCAAAGAAAACATTTACCATTTTAAAGACAGTTTCCAAAAAAAACCCCAAAAAACAAAAAACCGAACATGATACTTTAAGAGGATCCTCAACCCCTTATCTGAAATTCTTGGGGCCAGATGTGTTTCAGAGTTCAGAGTAGTGAGATTTTAGAAAGGCAACAGAAGCCACCACTCCACACCCCAAATCCAACATAGGGCAGAACACATCTGCAGCTCAGTGTGTGGACGTTTGCACTGCGCTGTGAAATCAGACTACGGCCTATGTGAGCGTAGGTCAGATGAACTCTGGTCAGGTCAAGCCTTGCAACTAGAGTTACAAAATGATTTTGGTGTTCACTTTTTGGGTTTTATAATTTTCTTAAGGGACTGGGCATCATAAAATGCTCAGAGTAAAAACCGTTTATTTTGTTTCTCAGCTGGCACTTTCTTTTTTCTAGTATCAGGATAAAGCCTTTGTGACAGCAGTTTGTCACTTTTTCTTTTATGTCATCAGATCTGAAACCAAGTCTCACAAGCCTCATGGCCAAGACACCATGCTGGCAGATGTGATCCTTCACAGCAGCCCCACTAGCCACTCTCGTCGCTCAGACGGCCCAGAGCTCTGCCAGAAGAACATCTATCCAGCCTGCCCTGGAGGATCTGGGATCTGGGCCCACTGTTCCTCCTCCGGGGCTCTGATCTTCAGTTTCCCCATCCCTACTTCCCGTCCTTCCTCCTCCAGTCAGCCAATCTGAGATGTTGTGAGCAGGCAGTCTTCTCGGCACCTAGCTGGGCATGAAGCATTGACTCTGGGGATGGCGTATGCACCCCCAGGATGAGGAGACGGCACGAGGAGAGGGCCACACAGGTTCTCCGTGCATGGCCTGCCACCAAGGTCCCCTTGACTCCATTATTCCATTTGTCTATCATTCCATAGGTGATTCCCACAGGGATCCAGCTAGACCAAAAAGCTGAACTCGGGGTAGGAAAAATAAAGGTTTACACAATCTAAATGTTGCTTTTAAATCTTTTAAAAAGAATCTGCAATTCTGTGGAATAAGCAAGTGGCTCTAGCCCCCCAACAACAATGGACTTTGAAGGCAGAATGAGTGGGAATGACCTACTGACTATTAAGGTCCCAAGTCCATTTCTAAGACCTAAGCTGTTCCCCTTGATGCACGTGCAGCAATGTACAGGAGTCCATGAGCTCAACCAAAAACAACACCTACTTCAGAAAACTCAACACCTCACGTATAAATGAGAAGGGAACACAACAACCCTACAACCCCCAGCACATCAATATGACAAAGGTCAATCCCTAGAGCAGATGAGAAGAACTCCACCACCAGGCCCCAACCCCCTGGGCACCTCCACAGGACAAAAGAACAGAAACGCAGACCACCGGGAGCCACTCACCTGTGTTGTCCTTACTGAGGATGCTTCTCTGCATCTCTTCTACTTTGGCCATGAGTCTTTGGTACTGCTCCTCTGCCACCTGCAGATCGCTGTTGGAGGACGCCAGGCTGGCATTCTTGGCTTCCAGCATGTTCTGCAGGTCAGTCATTGCTCGCTCTAGGTCCCAGCAAGACTGCTTCAAGGTGTCCACCTCTGAACTGAGCAAGTCCTGCTTCTGCTGGCTGCTATGGCTGTGCTCCACCTGCGCCTGGAGCCTTGTGTTCAGGGCAGCCAGTTGAGCCTGCAGCTCTGCCTTTTCTTTAAGTGCCTGAAAGATCCCCAAACAGCCACACTGACTTTCAGAAAAATAAGTCACTTCCACCCTGCCTATTAAGAGGGCTGCCAAAACAAAACAGGGAGACAAAGAAAGGTATCCGACAGGTGAACTTTACAGAAAAGTACCATGTTTTCCAGACTGCTCAGTCACTCTTACACATTGGTTATCCCAAAAGAAGGCAGATTCTCCAAACGAGCCCAAGAGGCAGGAGGAGCCTGCTTGTTTTCTGCAAGGCTGCACCTGAGCAGGGCAGCATTCGGGGAGAGCTGTGCAAGCACCCATTCACCAGCAAGAATGTCGGAAAACCTAGTTGTTAAAAAAACAACAAAGCACACCAGCATGCACACAAACACACACACACACAAAGCAAGAACACCCGAGTGGTGAGGAACCCCTCAAAGATAGAGAGCAGTCAGTCATATCTAGGAAACAGAACTGGCAGAACATATCTGCAGGAAAGGTGGCTGTTACCCCAGAGGAGCTCTGAGGCTCCACGAGGGCCGCTGGGCACAGAGCAGCCGGAGGCACTGTCCAGTGCTAGGTGGCAGGACCACAGAGACCACTCTCCACAGGATAAAGCCACAGTGAAAGGAAAGATGGGGCCTCGAGAAGCCCCAGGGGCAGCAGAGAACGTCCAGAAGAAGAGGAGCAAAGGGCACATGCCCACCCACTAGTCAGCATCTCCTTCCCATCCTACAGTCAGTCTCTCAGGGGTTTGCATGGGAGTTCCAAAATGCAAAGATGAGCAGACAGTGGCACATCTGTACGCTTTAGGAGAAAACCAACATCATGAGAAAAGACAACAAATTCAACAAACAGAAGAACAAATGCCCAAAGAAACCGAGTTAACTGAGCAAATGTAATGAGATTTCACAGTAAGCATAACTAGTATCTTCTACAGAGACGCCAGCAAGTGTCATACCCGTAACACCCACCAAGATCTTGGTTTGGACACAAGTGAAGAGCAGATCAGTATCCCAGGAGTGTAAGAAGGTAAAGTCAGGTAAAAGCTAAGGTTCTTGGATCGCTCATGGAGGGAACGTGCACATCAAGTGGAAAGGCATTGGATGAGGTGACCTTCTAAAGTGGGATGGAAAGTGACAACTGAGTACAACCAAATTAACCTCGAAATCTCAGCCATCACCTCTTCAGTCGACAGTTTTATGTACACAAAGTGGTCTGTCTGTGTCCCAGGACTGAGTTGTACAAAAAAGCCACATCAAACATGAGAACAGCATTTAGCAGAGTGAGCTATTCTCCACGTCAACAGCTTCCTGTCACCCCCCGCCCCACCAACTGGAGTGCACGCTCCTGAAAGAAACACTCTCTTGCTGCGACGTCACACCGCTCTGTGCCTGTGTGCATGTCTCCGAGTCTCCACGCTAAATGTATACAGTCGAATTCAACTGAACTGACTGACTCTGTTGACAGGAAAGCTGAAAATTCAGGGCTCGAAAATGATTTTTCAGGCATGTGCTAACCAGATAAAGCAAAATTCCCATCAGAAAAAGCAAAGCCCGCAGCAAAAAGTATTAAAGGGGCAAAGATGACAACTTTACCATGCCAGAAAAAGGTGAAATCTGCTAAAAGAATTTAACTATTATGGATTGTTAGGTATCTAACAACAGAGCTAGGAAATATTCCAGGCAGATCCTGATGGTGATTCAAGGAGAAACTGAGCCATGCACAGTCAGAGCAGGAAACGAACAAACCTCTTTCTGAGGCAGAAAAACCAAGTAGAAAAATGTGAAGATACAGAAGACTTGGCTGATGGTGACAATGATGATGATAAAGCTTATTCTTAAAGACGTATAAAACTTTGCACCCCGTGAACATGAATCACACATTAACACATCCATCAAACATCCATTACCTGACTAGCCTCCAATGATAAAGCTTCCAGCTGCCCTTCAAGTCTCATTTTTTCTTTAAGAACCTGCAACATTTCATCATGAGTTTCAGCAACAGAGCTTTCCACAGACACGCTGGAGGATAAAGGCACAAAGGATGAGGCAGTGGGAATATGAAGGATCACTATTATCCCGCTTTTATACTTTCCCATATTCTCCAAATTCCACACGCTCCTGCTACTCTCCCCTAAATTTTTAAAAATAAGTAAAAAGATTTAAGTAGAGAACTAAAGCTCTTACAAATGCTACTAATCAACACCCCGACCCAGTTGGGCATTTTCAGCCCCCATGTGGCTAGGAACATCCTTATTGAAATGGGAGCCCAGGTTAACTATCTGTGCAGTTTGAGAGACAGCTCTAGACAAACACTGGAAGATAGCATATCTTCATACTGCAGACGATTACTGATGAGATCCAATTCCATTTCTTACAAAGCAACAGAGTTGTGTAGAAATAAAGCGCTAAAGACTAAGGATGGAATTAAGAGAGAAAATCGGTGTATCACTGGCTTCAGTGCAGAGCAGGGTCTGCAGACATCACCCACCTGCTGCCGATGCTGTCTGTCCGGCTCCGCATCTCCCCGTTGACCTCCTGCCCCCGGTCTTGGTGTTCAGCTGCTGCGGCCTGCAGCACATCCGTGATGGAGGGAAACTGGCCCAGGGCACCGGTGGCAATCTCCTGGCCGTTGACCATGTAGGAGGCTTCACGTGTGCCCACGGTGTTCGCCAGAAGGCCAAGTGTCCCGCGGGTGGAGACGCTGCTGTAGGAGGAACTGTCACTCTCATTCCCATCGGCCTCAGATGCATTGTCCCCCGTCAGGGATGAGTTCTCCAGGCGGTCCTCAGCCTCAGGACACAGGCTGATCTCAGACACCACCGATGTCGTGCTGCTTCGGCTCTGCTTCAGGGAACCCCCGGCAGAGTCTGCAGCCGGAACATTTCCACCAGAATTCCCGGCATCTGAGTCTTCAGTTCTGTAATCAGCCAGAGACCGAATTTTGCCTGATTTTGAACTTTTTTTCTCCTTAGGATGTGCCAGGAGCCCTAAGCTGCCCACCTTTGGCCCCCGAGGGACACTGGTGCGCAGGAAGGAATATTCTTTCGTCATAGCCACAGCACTGGCCCTTGGTAAGGTTTCTGGGTTCAACATGAGTTCAGGATCAAGTGTGCTAAAAAGTCTCATTTTAGTTGCAGGTTGACTGGACTGAGAAGGAACAAAAGTACAAAAACTGTGTTTAAAATTGACAAGCAGCATTCAAAAACCGCCATCCAGAAAAGCTGCACCAATTATCTTCCCTCCTCACATAAACAGAGCACCCTCCGCCACATCCCTCACCACCCCACTCCACCCAGGGCTGCCACCCTCTGCAGTCTCACTGCCTCCAGCTCATGGCCCAGTGACGGGCCCACACATGCCTTTAATGGCAGTGACTTGATAACATTGTAAAACATCGATCAGAGCACGTCCTTCCCCACCATACCGCCTTTACAAACTTTTCCTGGCTATTCTCCCATGTTTATTCTTTTAGATAAACTTGACAATTTTCTTCAAGTTAAAAAAAAAAGTCCTTTTGAATTAGAACTACCTTAAATTTATAATTACTCAGGGGACAATGAGCTGTTTTCCTCCATTTATTCATATTTGCTTGCATGTCCCTCAACAAAGGAAGTCACGTAGTGTTCATTTAGATTCTAAACCATTTTTATTGCCATTTTAATTCTTAGATATTTTATCATTTTGTTATTATACTATTGACAACTATTGATTTTTCATATTCATATCTTTAAACTGATCATTTTCTGAACCCTATTTTAATAATTCTATAATATTTTCATAAATTTATAATAGTAATTTTTTTTCAGTTGATTCTCTAGAGTTTTCCAAGACATTTCCAACACATGCAAACAACAATAATATTCTCTTTTTCAATATTTATGTCTCTTACTTCTTCTATTATCATGTTAGCTAGAACTTCCCAAATGGCCTTAAATGAGGTTGGGGATGAAGGAAGACACTGCTCCTTGTTTCTATCTCAACATGACTCTCTCTCACCTAGAAATATTCAATCTTATGTTATTCTACAAAGTCAGTGCAATCCCAGCAGGGCAGAAGGACAAGGGGAAGGATGAAAAACATCTCAAAATGATACAGGGATGCAACTGGAAGAATAAATAAGCAAGAATACAGGCGTATCTCGGAGATATTGCAAGTTCAGTTGCAGACCACCACAGTAAAGCTAATACTGCAATAAAGCAAGTCACACGAAGTTTTTGGTTTTCCAGCTCATATAAAAGTTATGTTTACACTATACTATAGTCTATTAAGTGTGCAATAGCATTGTGTCTAAAAAAACAATGCACATACCTTAATTAAAAAATACGTCATTGCTAAAAAATGCCAACCATCATCTGAGCCTTCAGCAAGTTGTAATCTTTTTGCTGGTGGAGGGTCTTGTAAAAAACGCAATAAAGCGAGGTATGCCTGTAGCTAGAAGAGCAAGTGTCTGGGCCTGCAGGTAGACTGGACCACCCAGCGTTATCATGACTATAGAGCTACAATTAGACCCACCAAGAGCTAGGAAAGCAGCAGACAGGCTGATGACGTAGAACGCAGCCCAGAAACCAGCCCAAGTATAGGCGGGATTTGTAGATATTCGAGAAGGACCCCAATAAGGCAGCACTGCAACCAGCGGGGAAAAGACAGACTACGGAACAAGCGATTTTCCATAACCGACCAGCTATCCACAAAAAGGCTAATTCCCACCTCTCGCCTTCATCCAAAACATTTCAAATGGATTAGATTTAAACAGCAAAAAAACCCCCAACTTTGGAATACATTTTATACTATCTTATACTTTTAGTATAAGAAGAAAACATTGGTGAATTTATTTACAGTCTTCAAATGAGGAGATCCTTTTGAAACATGACATAAACCCCAAAAGAAGTAACAGCAAAGGCTGAAAAATTTGTAAATATTTAAAACTGATGTGCAGCAAAAAAATATACCAGAAAAGAAGTGAAAACACACGACAAACTGGGAAAAAATTATCTGCAATATTTACTAAAAAGGCATGATTTCCTTGTATGTAGCACCTACATAGCAAAAAGACAACCAACAGAAAAATGGACAAAGACACACAGCCAGCGAATACATGAAAAGATGCTCACTGTTAGGAGATAACGGTTATTTTCACCTAGCAGAGGACAAAAATTCAATTTTTGTTATTTCTAAAGCTGCCAAGGATGAGAAAGCTGGCATTCTTATACGCTGCTAACCGGAGTGTAAATTGGTCCAGCCTATTCAGAGGGCAATAAATATCAAATAACAAATACATAAAACCTTTTACCTAATAACTTGACATTTAAAAATTTACCCACAAAAGTATACCAAGACACAAAACATTCACTGAAACACTGTTTACAATTTCAAAAAATCAGAAACGACCTAAATGTCAATCACTATGGGAAACAACCTAAATGTCGATCACCACGGGTTGGTTAATGAAATGCTGGTACATACACAGTTAGAAAGGAAGAGGCAGGTCCCCACTGTGCCTATGGAGAGGCGCTCGGGACATGGCTAGTGAGAGAGGCAGTGTGAAGAACAGTGCAGAGGGTGCTCCCACTGCATAAAAACCAACCATCATCTGTGTGTGAGGGCATATGCATGAAGATGCTCCCGAAGTATTTATCAGACTAAATAGGAGAGAACTTTTACATATCATCTATGCCATTTAAATATGAGGTTTGAACTACATTTCTCATGTTAAGGAAATATTCCTAAAGAAGTAACCTTCTACTCTTAGTTTAGTAGTTTTTGCTTGTTTTGCGTTTTTTGAATCAAGAATTTTGAATTTTATCAGATACCTTTTCAGCACCCACTGAGATGATCCTAAGTTTTTTCACATGGACCTACTACCATAATGAGTGCTGTCGACAGATTCTCCCATCTTGAACTAACCTGTACTCTTACAGAAAACCTCCTTCCGTAGCCCTGTGTTACTCTAAAACTGACAGGCAGTGCTGATTGGTCACAAGCATTTCCATTCACAAGCACAGCACAGCTCTGCGCTCAGACAGGTGGGATCAAACCCCAGCCCCGCTGTTGGCACCACTATGGTGGGCACTTCAGCTCCGAGCTTCAGTGAACACCATTCCTCACCGGGTTGTGGGAAGCAGGAGGGCACCTCCCCAACTGCACCCTGCCTCACCCGGCCCTGCCCTGAGGGTCTCTAGAGCAGGGGACAGGTGGTGGCCAACGTACCCAGCAGCTCACTGCCCGCCTTCCTCCGTGTTGGGGTGGCTGAGTGAGAGGGGACTGTAAAGTCGGTCAGCCCAGTGTGTGATCAGCATGACATTTCCATCAGTTTGAGAGAAGTTATCTTACTAAGGACTAAGGAAGTATCCTTCCATTTTAACTACCAGTTTTTTATATTTATACATATATATAATTTTTTAAGATGGGGAAAAGATGTTAAATTTCACATTCGTAATTTTACACTGAACTCCTGACATACTGTGACCGCCTAATGTTGAACGATCCAGGCAGAGCCTGGGACTCGCGGTGCAGGCCTCTGGGAGGAAGAGCATGGACAGGCCCTGGCACACGGATGCCGTCTGGTCTGCATATTGGCTCTGCCACTTTACCACTGAGTGACCTCCAGCGAGATCCTTACCCACCCAAGGCTCAGTTTCCTCTTCCAAAATGTCACTCATTTCACATGATTATTGTTAACATTTCTGTTATATGAAGTCCTTGGGGAATTTAACATAGTACCTGGTGACTATCACGGTAACTTTTCTGGCAGGCCACCTGGGTAGGTCCCTGGAAGCCTGACCAGGCAGGAGCCTCTGCCAGAGCCCATGTGGGGTCCTCGAGGCTCTTCACACTGGCTTTGGAGCAGTGACACCGGCACAGCCACGGTTCCCTCGTGCAAAAACAAACGGCCAACCCTGACGGGGATTCATCACTACTAAATCATTCACTGACAGCATTTTTAAAAGTTAGTTATTTTAATTTTAAATTCTTTTAATTTGAAATTTTTCAAATCCACAGAAAAGTTGGATGAAGTGTGAAATGAACATTCATACCCCCTTTGCCTAGAGTCACTCGATGTGATTAAAAAGACTGCTTTCATTAGCATCCTAAAGAGCTTTATATCTGAATAAAACTGACATTAGCCTATCATATGGACGTGGCAAAGTCCAGTGGAAACTGTTCACTCATATACTAACAACTGAAACCTAGGACTGGCTGCTCAAGTACAGGGAGCAACAATACCCAAGTATTTGCCATCTCTGCTTTTTAAATGGAAGATTTAGGAATAAAACATGTTTGTTCCAAGGGAAGAAGGACCAGACGAGGCAGGAACCAGAGCCCTGTTGGAATCTCCCAAAGGGTGGAAACTGCATGAGAGAAATGATCTTTCCAGAGAAGCAGAGACTTAAACAGCAGATCCTAGAATTACATCTGACTAATTACTGTTTTCACGCATGAAGTTTTCCATGAGTTTGTTCAGGGAGGGAGACTCACTCTTTCCTGCTGGCGCTTCACCCTGTACTGTTTGAGCTGTTCTTCCAGCCGTTTCCGAGCCTGAAGTCGGACCTGCTCTTCCTTTTCCAGGGGCAGTGAAGCCTCTGTTGAGCCTGCAGTGGGGAAATGGCCATTTAGAAATTCATAAAGCACTGGGCACAGAGGACTAGTCAGAACAGCAGCTTGGTTGTCTTGCGCATAATTACCAAAATGATTTAGGTTCTAAACAAAACACGGCCGTCTAGTTTAAAAAGCCTATTTCCAGATGGAAAGAAAACTATAAGCCTCGGACACTGGCCACAGACAGGACCCACCTGGCAGAAGACCACTGGCCAAGTACAGGGTCTGTGCTCACGCCACAAGTATGTCGCTCCCCAGGGCATCCAGCTGGTAAAACAGGACACCGGCAATTCACACCTTTAGTAACAAAAGAACTGAACTTTAAGTCGGTGCCAGCGCTGAGCTCTGAGGCTGAGGGTCCTCGGCTCTCACCGAGCTCTACTCTGCTCTCTGACATTACAGAGGAACATGTGAAAGGAAGTTTTGATGGAATTACACCCAGCGATAGGGAACAAGAACATGCCTAGCATGTGGTCAGGTGATACCAAACATGCTTTCTTTATGCAGTTGCATTGGTGGATATAATCTGATCCACAAATTATATTCAAACTCCTGCAATAACAAGTCAGGTTATAGTAAGGTATACAAAATCACAAGAGTCCTCAGACATTATTTCTTAAGGAAAAAGCAGCTCACAGTGACCCCCTTAGGATTCATTGCAGACTGAAGGCCAAGCAGGCGTCCCAGCAAGGCCTGGGGCTGTTACCTCAGTTTCCAGACAGAGGCAACTCCAGTCCAGAGACTACACTCAAGAACAGGAGGGGAAATGAAAACTTTTTGGCCAATAACAGATTTTGAAATATCTAAAACCCCAACCTTTTATTTTGGGTAATAAAAGGGCTGAATAGTGAGTAAAAGGGTTCTTTCACATACAGCAGACATACGTGTGGAACCCTGCTGAGGGCCAAGGCAGGTCAGCTAATACCCTGACAAGAACACACAAATGTCATAATTTAACCACTTCATAGATGGCACCATCTTCAGATATGGATTCTGAGGAGATAAGCAGCTGTTGTTTTAAATAATCCCTAAAACCTGAGCAGTTGCCAAGAATTTTACTAGGAATTCACCAATGTCCTTACTAATTTGTGTTTATCACTGAAAAGGTCTCTAGTTCTTTTCACAAGGCTAAGTGGTCCAGATGGCAGAAACCCAAGGGCCTGTGGCCTCAGGCAGGGAACCCAAATCAGCGAAGTCAATGCCAGAGACACAGCCCCAGGGCCCGGTGACCAGCCAACACCACCAGGATGGGCAGGGCCGGTGACAGGCGAACACCCACAAGGAAGGCCACTGGTGGCTGAGGCTGCTGCCATGTGGGCACCTGGGGCAGAGCTCACAAATCCCTCAAATCAGGAATCCAGACCTTATATGATGTCTCTTGACTTAAATGTTGACAATTAGTTTACAGAAATGTTTAAAACACACTGCAGCTCTAACAAAATAATGCCTATAAAGAAAAAGGCAAACAGTCCAAAAAAAAAAAAAACGGGCCAAACATATGAACAGACAATTCACAGAAAAGAACAGTCAAATGGCCAACAGATGGAAAGATGCTCAAAGCCTCTGGTAATTGGGGAGGGGCAGGTTGCAAATTAAAAGGAAGCACCTCACACACCCACCAGACTGGTAAAAACAGAAAAGAAATGGTGTCTGTGCTGCAGAGGTGGGAGACAGTGTCCTCCTATGGGTCGTTAGTGGGGGCAATATGGCCACGCGTGATGGAAATAAAGATACTCATTGCTTCTGACCAAGAATTCTGCTTCTGGGATGAAGCCCACAGAGATTAAGGCTGATGATGTGGACACATGCTCACTAACGCTCAGTGAGATGGTCACTGCAGCACCAGTCATCATGGCCAACCCAAAAGCTGCAGAGACTCCACCCGGCCACACCCAGGGCTCCTGACCAGCCTTCAAAGAATGAATCTGGAGGGGCCAGCCCAGGGGCCTAGTGGTTAAGTTTGGCATGCTCTGCTTCGGTGGCCTGAGTTCAGTTCCCAGGCATGGACCTACACCACTAGTCAGCCATGCTGTGGTGGTGACCCACATACAAAATAGAAGAAGACTGGCCACGGATGTTAGCTCAGGGCAAATCTTCCTCAAGCAAAAAGAGGAAGATTGCTGATGGATGTTAACTCAGGTCGAATCTTCCTCAGCAAAAAAAAAAAAAAGAAAAAGAAAAAAAAGAATGAATTTGGAGCTGCATCAGTGAGAAAAACATGCAATAACGTGAACAATATAATCCCATTTTAAAAAACAATGACCAAAAACCTGGCTGTTTACAGAGGGCTGTAAAGGATCACACGAGAATGCGGCTGACCTGGAGAGGTGGGGAGGAGGTACTGAAGAGGGGATGGAGCGGTAAAAACAGCATGAGTGACATGATCCCATTACGTAAAATCTTATATGTCTGTATGAAAACATAAGTGTTGGAGAAAGGCCGGGAGGCTTCTAGGGCTCACAGGCTGCCAGTCTGCAACTTGTTCACCCCTGAATCCCCAGGGATCAGCACAAAATAAATGTCGATTAAAATAATTCATAAAAGAAAGCCATCGGGGCCAGCCCCGTGGCTTGGCGGTTAAGTGCGCGCGCTCTGGCGGCCTGGGGTTTGGATCCCAGGCGCGCACCGACGCACCACTTCTCCGGCCATGCTGAGGCCGCGTCCCACATACAGCAGCTAGAAGGATGTGCAACTATGACAAACAACTATCTACTGGGGCTTTGGGGGGAAAAAAAAGGAGGCGGATTGGCAATGGATGTTGGCTCAGAGCCGGTCTTCCTCAGCAAAAAGAGGAGGATGAGCATGGATGTTAGCTCAGGGCTGATCTTCCTCACAAGAAAAAAAAAAAAAAAAAGAAAGCCTTCAAAGTGTACCTATCAAGATTAATTTCCCACTGACTGCTTGCTCCCCATTCAGGGTGACACGAGACACACATGCACAGGCCCTTTAAATCTGGCCCTTGAGCACCACTGTCAATATCAGACCATGAAGAAGTATACTTTCTCTCTAAAATGGAGCTATTCATTAAATGCACAGCCCAGCATAGTGATATAACAGCAAATGACAGAGAGATAAGCAGCGAGCTGGTCAGGGCATGTATCTCTTAAGGGTGGTGAGCGACAAGGGACACGGGAGGAGGGGTGGGAGAGAACAACGAAGAGCCCGGCGAGAACAGATGCTTACACAGTTGCGTTTCTTGCATAGGAAGACTGAGTCTGAGAGACTGCAAGGCTTCTTTTCTAACACTGCCCTCAGCACTAGTCCCCTGAGACTTCCTTAGGTTGTCATGGAAACCAGCCACACCTGGGGAGGCATCAGGACCCACTGGGCTTGTGGTGGGACCAAGAGATGACGGAGGGTCTGGGAACTGTGGCGTCGGCCCGTTCTGACAGGTGTCCCCCTCGCTAGGTACATCCAGGCTTTCTCCTTCATCTGAAGCTCTGCTCACCTCAACAGTGGCACCTGGAAAAGAGAGCGTGCTGGGCCATCACGGTTTTAACAACTAGATCAAGTTGTTTTTCAGACACACAGCTAAAACCGGACAAAAGAGAATCTCAATACATGAGCAAACACCATCTCCCCATCCTGTAAATCTTTTCGCTCTGAGAGGAGAGCAGGCCCTGGGTTCTTCTCCCGTGGGCAGGTGACATGGACAAATTGCTTGACCTCTTAGGGCCTAACATCTCCACCTGTGGAACACCCTCTCCCCTGCGCTTTGGTCACAGAACTTAAGCGGTAATGTTTCCTTTTCATTTAAATAAGACCAATGAGAAATCTTATTCAAGTCTTTCAAAAAACAGCAAAAGAAAACAAGTGCTTAAAACATAGCTGACAATGTTTCTAACAGGTGTTTCTAACAGCCGTGCTAATCAGTCACAGCCTCACATTTACAAAGGGCTGATTCCAAAGTCATTTCAAAGCATAAGTTTATCCTCCAAAATGAGAAATCTAAGGCAAAGAGGTAGATTAGCTGATCAGAACAATTACGGCAAACTTGAACACAGAACCCAGAGTCTGTTCTTCTGCTTGATGAACACCTGTTAGATAAAAACCCAAGTTTAGGGCCAGCCCCAGTCGCCTAGTGGTTAAATTCAGCACACTCTGCTTTGGGGGCCCGGGGGGCCCGGGGGTTCAGTTCCCAGGTGCAGACCAACACCACTGTGGCCATGCTGTGGTGGTGGCTCACATACAAAAAGAGGAAGACTGGCAGTGGATGTTAGCTCAGAGTGAATCTTCCTCAGCAAAAAATAAAACAAACAAACCCAAGTTTAACCAATGATGACTATACACCCACGTATCAAGCTCAGTTTCACCCACTAACATTTTTATACATAGATTTGTTTATACAGTAACTAAAACTTATGTCCTTATCAAAAGGAAAAAAGGAAGAAAGACTTCTTACAATTAAATAATTTTTAGTCTCTTTCCTGCCCCTTCACCCTGGTGGGTCAGTCAGTCCGCATTCCAAGAACCAAGATAGATGTGGAGGGAGGGAGGAAGGGTGCAAGTGTTTCCCACGAACAGCAGCGCCCAGTATCTCACAGAAATCAGCATCACTGGGATCTCGTGACATACCCATTATGCATCCAGGAAATTCCCTTTTTGCCCAAGCAAATTCAATTAAATGTGTTTCTGTCACTGGAAATGTGAGTTCCAACTAACACAGCCACTGACTGTCAGGCCTCCCCGGAAGGAAAACCAGAATACAAACGGGGTGCCACAGAGCTCAAGCAGAGCCACGAGACCCGGCCACACCTGACACGACTGTCTGCTCTCACACCAATGACCCCTGCAGCTCCACTGCGGGGTGAGGGGAAATCCTGCAGTTCAGGTACAAGTCACTCAGGTCAATACCACTTTCTGGGGCCGGCCCTGTGGCTTGGTGGTTAAGTGCACGCGCTGCGATGCTGGCGGCCCGGGTTCGGATCCCGGGTGCGCATCGAGGCACCACTTCTCCGTTCATCCTGAGGCCGAGTCCCACATGCAGCAACTAGAAGGATGTGCAGCTACGACACACAACTATCCACTGGGGCTTTGGGGGGAAAAAATAAAATAAATAAAATCTTTAAAAAAAAAAAAAAAAAAAAATACCACTTTCTGATGGGTTTACAGATCGGGGAGAGTGTCTACATATTCCCGTTTACATAAAAGGAAATTTTTGAGCCATCATATTGCACTTTAAAAAAAACCTAAAAGAAGAGCCAATAAACAATAACACCTAATTGTTTCCAAACACATACCTAATTATGGATAAACAAATAATGATGACAACGATGATGCGGGGACAACAACAAAAACGGCCACTACCACTTCCTGGATGCTTCCCGAGCGCCTGCCTTTCATGGGCGCCATTTCTTTTCGCCCTCACGACTACCCTAAGATGCAGGTACCACTGACCTTCCATTTTACACAAGAAGAGAGTGAGGCTGAGACAAATTAAGGATCTTGCTCGAGGGCTCATTACTCTTCGGGGAGGATCTAAAAGCTGGCTCCCTGTCTGTCCCACTGTAGAATCCTTGGTCTGGGGCTCATGCTGTTACCAGTCTTGCCTGGCATTTAAAGAGTAGTAATCAACAAAGCCAATTAGGTGCGTGAACATTGTTTTACAAGAATCAGAATGCAATTTCTACTAGTAAATGAGTACCTATACACTCTACGATTTTCAAGCACACACTACACTGACCCTCCTGAGAAGGAAGAGGCATGAGAACTGAGTGAATAATTCACCCTGTACTTCTGATGCACAAATAACCCATCAGCTAACAGGCAAGTGTGATCTGATAATCCCTGGACCACTACTGGACCATTTCTGGATCCCAGTAAATAAAATTTTGGCAACCCAAGCAACCAAAAAGGTAGAATGCTAGGCAGGGAACAATGACGTGTCAGTGAGGACTCACAGAAGCCTTAAGAGAAAACAGTGCTGCTCCATCCTGCTGGAGCAGAAGAGTGGGACAGTTCCTATTCTATTTAACATGCATGGTGCTTGATCTAAAATTGGCATCTTGGGGCTGGCCCTGTGGCATAGTGGTTAAGTTCAGCACACTTTGCTTCAGCGGCCCGGGTTTGTGGGTTCAGATCCCAGGCGTGGACCTACACCACTCATCAGCCATGCTGTGGGGGCGATCCACATATAAAAAAGTGGAGGAAGATTGGCAAAGATGTTAGCTCAGGGCTAATCTTTCTCAAGCCAAAAAAAAGAGGAAGACTGGCAGCAAATGTTAGCTCAGGGCCAATCTTCCTCACCAAAAAAAAAATAAATAAATAAAAATAAAAAAGTTGGCATCAACCAAGAGAAAACACTTATCTGTGTACTAAAAACACACTTTGAATAAATAAAAAGTTCATTATGATCTTAAACACCACAGTCTTCCTCCAAAACCAAGCTGATCCACACCCTCCTGTTTAAAGGCAAAAAGTCAGCAGCACACAGAGTAACCAGAGACTTACGCTGTGCTTCATCACGCTGGTCAGGCGGTGCCAGCGAGCCCGGGGACTTTGGGAGGGCCTCAGGGTGAGCTGAGGTCCCATTGCCAGCTCCGTCCTCCAAGAGGCCATCCTGCACAGCCGACACACCATCCATGGTCGGGACGACACAGGCTGGGCTGACACTCAAGGGCTGCAAGAGAACTGCTAGCAAGTTTGGTTTCTGCCATTAGCAACAGCCAAGAGCTCCTGGGAAGGACTGCACTTGGTTTTCCATTTTCAGGAGGAGATTTAAAGTCTCAAAAATAGCTTGAAATCAAACCAAGTAATATCATGATACCTGACAGGAGAAAGAGAAAGAAGGTTTTATCAAACTTCATTTGTCAGATTGAGAGTAAGAATTCCAAGATTAACATTTGGTTCCCAAATTGCATCCGTATAACAAACAAATACACATTTATTGATGCAACAAATAATCCTAATCACCTACAGCATCCTAGGTTCTGAGTATAAAAAGCTGACCAGCCACACCAGGGCCCATTCCTGAAGGCGCTTATGTCTGTATGGGTGCTGGCTGAAGACCAACCTGCAGGCAGAGAAGCTCCATAACTGGCTCTGTAACTGTCACAGGTGGCCACCGAGCTGGGATGGGGCCTGGGAGACTGAGGAACTAGGTTTTTATTTATCTAAATTTAACTCATTTGAGTGTAAATAGCCACATGCATCTGTATTGGACACACAGGCCTAAGCACTCACAGGGCAAGCTCCCCTCCCAGGAGACCTGGCGTGACAGTGCCCAAGGCCACAGCTTGGATCTAGAGGGGCAAAATGAAAGAAGCACTGCATAGGACATGGTGACTATGCACTGTATGGGGGAAGCAGGGAGACAAGGACACATGGAAAGGCAGCCACCTTGGACCAGGGGCAGAGAAAGCATCTCACAGAGGTGGCTGGTCCCATCTTTCATTTCTAGCAGGATCAGCTATCTTTTAGCCCATCCTGGTGGCTAAGTTTAAGGGAGCAAAGCTTTGCCCAAAGTTTGGCAGCTGGTTACCCCTTCTGAAGTGTACTGAGGATGTTATCAGTTCACTTCCTCATCAACAGATAAGGTGTGAGCTATTATTCATGCTGCAGAAATGTTGGCATTTACTTTATTTAAAATAAGTTTCATATTATCCTATGTACTCTTCTGTGTTTCATATGTTTCAGGACAAAAATGTACGTGACTTTCCTCTCCAGCTTACAAATCCCACAGACTTTTCAGATAAGAGCCTAAGCAGTGGCCCTCACAAGGAGGGGCCAACACTGACTCAACAGCAGTAGGACGTAGGTGCACCTGTTTTTCCAGGAGCATTTACTCTGATAATCCTCTCTCACTCTGTCACCACGAATAGGCACCCACTGGTGGTTGGCATAACCTGGTCTACCCATGCAGCGAGTGACAGGTGATGGGAGTGTCCCTGTGTGCGAACCCAGGAATGTGTGGCTCTAATAATCCACACATTCCTCTCTGTTGTTGGCACCCTACAGACCAAAGACACTATGGGATAATAATAATGCTGTTAAGAATATAAAAAGGTTAGGTCTACTATGAAGTATAAAACTAGCAGTGAGGGTTTGTATTAGAAAGGACTGTTGACTGAAACGTGTGAAAACCTGGGTAACTACCATCCAGTGTAGCTAATCAAAAAGCACTGGGCGCCAGTCTGGCTCACGGTGCCTGGCTCACAGAAGTATTTGAAAACTGAAAGGACACCTGAGTGAGAGAAATGGAGGGAGTTACTGAAGTAGGCTGGTCAAAACGTGATGCTGTATGCAAGTTCTCAATCTCGTTTCATCTCTGCAGTAACTGGTAACCTCTTTCACCCCTGGAGAGACTTTCCAGGTGGAGGGGTAGACAAATGGGCCCTTGGAGGCTCCACACCTGTCCTTATACATCCCACAGGCCCCTCTGAAAATCACCATTTCACAAGGTCCCAGCTCCATGGAAAACCATCAAGATGCCTAGCCTGCCTCTCAACTACAATCCCAGACATTCCCTGGGAACAGCTGGTGGCAAGCCCACGAGGCCAGGATGTAAGGCTGTCGAGAAGAAGCCCACAACGCAAGGCAAGGCACTTCAGCCAAAGGATGGCTAGGCTGCCCCTCCATCGCAGGCCTGCCACTTCAAGGACAGACGATTACAGACAGATGTGTAGGAACAAGCACGGTGGAATATGGAATCAACTGTCACTGCATACGGCCTACTGCATGTGCTGGTCATCCCAACAAGTTCCTTGACAAAAGAAAACGTTTGCATTTTGCTTTGAAACGTCTCTGTTTCTGCCTCTTAGGGGGCAGGGGTGAAGATGTCTAAATCACCAGTCTGCTGTCCACAATGCCTGGAAGGATAACAACAATAGATGAATGATTTTCAGGCAGAAGCTGGTCCCTCTGCTGCGGACGCCCTTCTCCTCTTGACCACCAGGCAAATTCCCACGGATCCTTCCAAGTCTACCATTAGGTGCTGCTCTGAAGTCTCTCCTGGGCCTCAGGTAAAGCACCTGGCCCACTGCCTTCTGCCACCACGATATCCCCTGCATGCACATCACACTGCAGTGTGTCTCCTCCATCACACCGTAAGATCCTTGAAAGCAGAAACCACCACTCCAAGACTGCCCCTACCCCTCTAACATCTTCCACTCAGAGCGGTGCTCAATGCAGGCTACTGACGGAAATCCTTGGCTCCATTGAGTTCCCCACTTAGGGACCAAGATAGTGGTTCCAAAACAAAATGATACAGTATTTGCATCCTTGAGTGTCAACACTGCCTTTTCAAATACAGAAAAATTCTATTTCTACTAAAAATACCTGGGAGCTACAGTTCCAGTGGGGGCAAAGAAAGCCCCTGGGAATCATAAACTGGGAGGGCAGCATGTAATGGTCACAGCCCAGATAAGCAATGTCACCAGGATGAGGAGGAGGAGCAGGACAGCCAGCAGGACTGGATTTATCTACTAAAGACAGAACATGCCAAGCAGAGAAGTGGGGGCAGCCAAGGAGCCGCAGAGGAGAACGTGCCACCACAGAGGAAAGGCACATAGTGACAATGTCTGACCCTGATGCTGTCCAGGAAAGGGGAACATAGGCCGAGACGTCTGAGGTCCACTGATGAAGGCACGCTAAACATGGAGACAAATGCGTCAGCTTGTCTGAGCCCAATGCCATCACACACTACACTCATTTAATTCCTTTTGGATTTCTTGCTACACAAGAAACCTTCTAATTCCCAAGCAGTCCTACCCGCTCCAGAGATGGATGGTGCAGCCCTCCAGAATAGAGACCCTGTGACTGTGACTGGTCATGAAAGTGGCTCCTGTTCACATGCAGCCTGAAGCCGGACAAGAGAGAGAATTCACTGACTGCCCAAAGCAACCTTTGGTGAAGTGACACTTCTCCTGTGGGCACTGAACTGGCATTCCCTGTCTATCCTCAGTCTTAGGTGAATTTTACTTAGCATAACTCAGTCGTTCAGGGCCTCATTACCTCAGACTGCTGACAAAAACAGAACAAGGAGGAGGGTCAGACAGCTGGGAGCACATCACAAGGAAGCTTTTATTAGTAACATGCACTCCATTCTGTGATTTAAAAAAAATAAATAAACAAAGAGATCAGTCTTATCATAGCACCATTTTGACCACCTGCACTCTGCTGTGTTTCTGGAGGGAAGAGACAGGGCAAAGCCATCACTCACAACTACGCAGAGTGTTCGTACCTCTGGGCTCACCCCTGTCTGACATCAAGGGACTTCATGCTGAGAAACCACGGTCTCAGGCACCTGCATGACTTCCCGCTTTGCCCATACAGCAGATTACACGAATTCGGTGTAGACACATTAACAGCTCCAGATACCCCATCTTATTTCAGTTGTTCCTACCGGCAATTAGGAACAACAGAGAACGGCTAAAGATAAACAGGATTCCTTTAAGAAGGTAATATCTAGCTGAGGCCACACTCGTAACCAAGTGAACAGAGACCAAGGCACCAAGTGAAAACCCTGAAGAGCCCCAGGTCACCGTCCAGCAGTGCTCCGTACAGGACAGGCTCTGGCGTCAGAGATCTGGGCTTCGGGTCGGGACTACTCCACCGTCAGCTGTGCGGTCACGGGCAGACTTCTAACCACAAGTCGCCAGTTTCCTCATTAGTAAGATGAGAAAAAGAACACGAACTTTCTGCCAGTATTAAATGCAACAAGCACAGGGTCTGTCCTACGCGCTCAATAAATGGTAGTTATTATTATTAGTGTTATTTTCCTTTCAATTGTTATTTGTCAAAACTAATAGGTAAAAAGCGACTGAAGATATTCTCACTTAAGAAAGTATACTGCTGCTTAAAGCAACCGGCCAAAATAAGGCTACTTCTGAATCTGGGTAACATCAGATGACTTTTCGTTTCTTTTCTTGCCGTTCAAGGTACACTGTGACTGAAAGCCATCAGTCCAGTCAAGAGCTGTTTGCAGTTAAAGGGACAATTTACAATTTAAAGAACCCATAAGTCACCCGTTAGTGGCTCACGAGGTCCTAGCGGTGTTCAATCGCAGTGACAATAAAACCCAACCCTCGCAGGTGCACCGGAGCCGAGCACGGCGGCCCTCCCGCGGCGCCCGTGTCCTGCCACCCCTCCTCTCCCGCCACCCCTCCTCCGACCCCTGCCCAGGACGCCTGACCCCGCCCGCCCCGGTCTCCGCACGCGCCGTCCTCTGCCCGCAGCCCGCGCACCCGCAACGCCGCGCCGCCGGCTCCTCGTCAGAGGCCCGGGCGCCAGAGCCGCCTCCCCGCAGACCCCCGAGCACCCGGCGCGTCAGTGTCGCCTCCTTCGCCGTCTGCGGCCGGGGCCGGGCCCCGACAGGACTCCACCGCGCCCGCGACGGCCACCGACGGGCGCTCCGCAGACGCGCTCGGGACGGCGGGCCGCT